TGTGGTTTGAATTATGTGAAAGAGGTGATTTAAGTTTTTAAAGAAGTAAAATAATGTCTTTTGACTATTTTTTTAACATCATTTAAAGAATTTAAAACATCTATTTTTATTATAATCGAGTTTACAGTTGCTTATTAAAGTTTTTTAAATAGCCGAGCCAACAAAAATATGCGAATTAAAATGATCCATATTTAAAAAATTGAGGGTTTTATAGGTAAAACATGAACTAAATTTTTCTTTTTTACTTTAATTTGAAAGTTTGAGATCTAATGGTTATTTTCTCCTTAAAATTATATGGGGTCAGATGACTTTCTCGTAACATCCTGCCAAGTAGGTAAATAACTCATCTAAAGGTTTCTTGCCTAGTTTCACAGGATTATAAGATTTATTGTCCTCAGGTGATGTACGCCACTTCTCAGATTATCATTTCTGTTTTGGTTAAGAGTAAATGCTTTCATTCCCTTAGTCTTTGTTAACGGTTTTCTTTCCTAAACCAAAAAATATATATTACTACAAAACACATCTTGTTTGCTCAGACATAATGAGGGAACCAAGGTCACGAGAAAGTGACATGAAACTCTTCAGCAAAAGAAAGAAATCATTCACTCAACTTGCATACATCCATGAACTTCTGGACTGCGTTATGATACTGAGTTCCCTGCAACCATACAACAAACATTGAGCATCTCCTTAATAGTTTATGTTAGTTAAACTTCTGATTTGTTTTATAAATATTAATGGGCAACCTATAAATGACTCATCTATAAATGGATGCAGACTATGTTGACATGGTATATAGACAAAAGAGGGTAAAAGATTGGAGCAAGTGAGTGTACCGTACCTCCCAGTAGAGCTGATGGCAGTTCATACACTGCCAAAACTCCAAATTTTTGTTGAATAAGCAGTTTGGTATTCTTTGGAAACCCTTTGCTGCTTCAATAGCTTCTTCAAGGGTCAGTGGTTTCTGAATAAATCTCCCATTGCATTTTGTGCATCTTGACATCAATTGATTCTCGCTGATCTTTAGCTGGAAAGTCTCTATCACCTGTACAGCTTAATTGTTTCAGTGGTAACTCAGAAAAAAAAAATCCACAACTATTCCACTGAACATAATAAAACTGGTTCTACAATGAATGCATGAGGCTCTATTTTCTAAGTATGAGTCCAAGCATCCCCATGAAAACAACTACCAAGTCAGTTTAATACACTAGAAGCCAAAGTTTGAATCACTTAGATGTCTTAACTTGAGACTCTTAAGAGAGATCCAAAACTTGCAGGTTCAGTCTCCTCTTTTAATAAAACCAGTCAACCAAATCATGCCACATCACAGATCTTTGCATAACACAGCTCACATACTAGTGATTTGGTTGTACCTCAAGAAGCTGCTCATTTTTCAGAAGGCTCTTGACTCTATATATTTGATGCTTAGCCAAATCTTGGTGTCTCAACAATTTTGTATCTCTTGTCAACAGAACTCTCTTCTCTTTCAATGCTTGATCAAGCAACTCCCTGGGGGTTATATCAATAAATCAAAAGCGAAACTAAGTAACTCAAAAAGATACTGTTATCAAAATTCAACAATGGCAGCTTCGGAAAAATAATACCTTGAATCTGGCTTCTTTGAGGATGGAACTGCAGCATCAATCCCAACACAACGTAGATGTTTCGCCAAACCTTCAACCTAGAGAGTTGTTCTATAAGCATCTGATATGATTAAACCTCATAAAGAAGTAAATGTGAACACACGCTTGGCAGAGATTTATCCAATTACCATCACATCCAAGAGAAACTTAGGGCAGCCATCACCGCCTAAAGATGAATCCCATGGCGGTGGACCTTGCCAGTCCACAGAACAAACCAAATGCTTATCTGTGTTCACATTCTTCAAGGAGGCACCACGTTTTCTTGTTTTCCTCTTGGAGATTCTTGGTAGAAGATCAGACTCCTTCAACAAGATCTTTTCTCCATACTTTCTTACAATCTTCAACAGATTCTCATCCATTGGCATTGTGTTTAGTGTTGTTTTTCTAGAGACCATTCCAATAGCAATGTTGTGACCATTTTGGGTCATTGATCTGATTACATCTGTAGCCTTGCATACTTTGGCCGTCACAATCTTACTGGTACAATCCTCTGATCCATTAAGAATGTCTTTTAAGCCGACGTTTGTATGTTTAGGATCTTGCAGTGTGATTTCTTCAACGAGATTTGACTTGAATACATCGAATATTTGGAGCAAGCAGTGAGCATCTGTTGCAGCGTAGAGTTTCTGTTCTTCTGTAAGAGGACGGTGTGACCAGTCACTACATTGAAGCTCCTAAAGAACAAAACCTCGTTAAAAGCCTTATAAACAATACCACCAACTTTAGAAAAAGCACTCAAGCCTAAATCATCACTAGAAAAATGTGTCTAAATGTCAACAGAACAGAGGAAATGTTTCATGGTGCTATGATCAACAAACTAAACAAAAATATCTAAACAGCACAGAGCACAATGTAGTAAGGGAGATGAACCATCAGTCTTGCTTTCTTATTAACTTATTCAGCTACATAATGTAATAACATAACTCCAGAAAAATAGGAAAGTTCTTTCAGGAATCAATGACAAACCTTTGACAAAGAAATGTCTAACAGTTCCTTGCATATAGCTGCCAAGCTTTTGATATCCTTTGGCGCTTTTCTCCCAAACCGCTTATGTTGGAGATGATTGTATATACTTGTGATATCCATGTATTGTTTCACCTATTCACATTTAAGGGAAAATTAACACAAGTCAACAATCCAATTTCAAAAATAAAATCTAAAAGGCAAGCATGTAATAACAAATAAAAGATTCTACTCTCTAAGTTTTTATCTAACTATAAACACCAGACATGATCCAAACAAAAGAAACCCAATTCCAAGATGAATCAACAACGCCAAAATGTAGAATCTTGGGAAGCAATTCGATTAACACATATCTTGAATGTGATCCAAACCAAACACTCAAAAACAATTTCGAACAAGGAAACCAAACATGTTATACTAAAGACTTTGCACAATTTAAATGAAACTTCAAAACTTTCAATGCATTAGTGTATTCTTAGCTCTTCAGAAACATGAAACAGGGGAGGAGAACACAAAATGCACAAGCTATAACCTCACTAAGCACCACTAATGAAACAACCAATAGAAATAAAAGTCTTGAATTCAATCAAAACTACTAATAAGATTTTCAATAAACATTCAAAACAATTGCAAAATGGGAAACCAAACACCATATACTAAAAACTTGCGTGCATATCTGGAACTTACTATAAGTGGTTATCTTACTATAAGCAGTAAGCAAAAGAAACTTAAACCAAGATGAATCAACAATGCTAAAGGTAGAATCTTTACCAGCAATTCAATTACACCAATTTTGAATGCAATCAAAACAACTAAGAAGAGTTCTAACAAACATTCAAAACAATTGCAAACTGGTAAACCAAACACTATATACTAAAAATTTGCATGCAAAACACTACCCATGATCTAAACCAAAAAAAAAACTCAAGTCCAAGATGAATCAACAGAGCTAAATGTTAAACCTTTGGGAAGCAATTGAACTACACCTATCTTAAATGCTATCCAAACTCAAAACTAAGATTGAAAGTTCAAATCTTTCAATGCCTTGGTGTATTTCAAGCTCATCAGAAACACAAAACAGGGGAAGAGAACACAAAACAGGGGAACAGAACAAGAAAGACACAACCTTTAACCTCATGGGAACTACTAACTAGAGTCTGAGATCAAAAGTTCAAAACTTTCAACCGCTTAATGCATTTTCACCTCAACAAAAACACACAAAAAAAAAAAACAGAGAAACAGAACAAAGAAAGAAACAAGCTTTATTAACCTCATTGAACCTCCCTTCACACCCATGTTGAGTAAACGTCGAAGACAAGTAAACCAAGTCCTGCTTAAACCGAAACCCAAGTTTCAACACATCAGGAGACACAAACATATCATTCAAAACCTCCCACACGGACGCAAGATCAATCGAAGTCAAGTCAATGAGGAAGACATCATCATCATCCGAGTCATCGTGACCGAGTCGACACGCGACTTGGAGGAGAGTGACAATCGGAAACGACGACGTACTAGACCGTTGCGGCTTCCACTCCGCGTCCAACGCGATCACCGTGGAGCGAGCGAAGGAGCATTTTAGGCGAGTGAACTCGGCCGAGTCGGTGGATGAAACAAGATAGATCTTCATTAATGTGAGGAGACATTGGAGTAAAGTCTCTCCGGTTGGGTTTTAATGTCTTTTAGGTTTTGTCGGTTTTGGTTCCGGTTAGATAAAATCAATATCAACCGGATTTTAATCCTAAACCGTAATAGTAGCGCCAAATTAAACTCGGTTAGATAAAACCAATATAAACCGAATTGTAATCAAAAACCGTTACCGTGGGCCAAATTAAATCAGGTTAGATAAAACCAATATAAAGTGGGATCGAAACCGGAATACAAAAGCCAAATTAAACCCAAAACAAATGCAAACCCGATTATTTTAAACCAATGTAAACCTGGATGTAATAAAACCGTGACAGTGGTGCCAAACTGAACCCGGTTAGATAAAACTAATATAAACCGGATTGTAATCGAAAAACCGCAATAGTAACACGCCAAATTAAAACCCGTTCAATAAAACCAACATAAACCAAATTTTAATCGAAAACCATTACATTGGCATCAAATTAAACCGGTTAGAAACCAATATAAACCAGGATGGAATAGAAACCATGACAGTGACGCCAAATTAAACCCGGTCAGATAAAATTAATATAAACAGGATTGCAATCTAAAACCATAATAGTAGCGCCAAATTAAAACCGGTTAGATAAAACCAGTATGAACCGAATTGTAATCACCGTAACAGTGGCGGCAAATTAAACCCGGTTATTGATTTTCCCCCCGCGAAAATTCGTTGAAAACAGAGCGCGAACTCTTTCAACATCTCTCACTCTCGCTCTCTTGATAATGGTGGTGTCGCGGCGGAGAAGAACTCAGGTGACAAACCCTAGGTCCATGGCGGAAGATTCTGATTCGGAATTGGATACAGTATGCGAAGAATGCAGCTCAGGGAAACAACCTGCGAAGCTGCTTCTTTGCGACAAATGCGATAAAGGGTTTCATCTTTTCTGTCTCAGACCGATTCTCGTTTCAGTTCCCAAAGGGTCTTGGTTCTGTCCTTCGTGTTCTAAACAACAGAACCCTAAAGGTAAGTCTTTTTTAATCAATTAAGCTTGAGATGTAGATTTTGATACTTAAAAATCAAAACTTTTTATTGCAGCTTTCCCTCTTGTTCAGACCAAACTCATAGACTTCTTTCGGATTAAACGGTGCTCTTCAGATTACATCTCATGTTCTCCAGGTAAAAGTTTACATCTTTGTAGTTTTTTTAGATTCCGTGGCAAAAAACATTATTTTTAAGAATGTAATAAAATAAATTCAGTAGCTTTATCTATATATGTTTAGCATTTTTGTAATTTTTTTCAAATTGGAAGTTAAGATTCCGACAAATGTATGTAATGTGTTCGGTAATAATTAATAAAAGAGTTTTTTTGTTTTGTTGTAGATGATATTGGGAAGAAAAGGAAAAGGACAAGCTTCGTGATGTCAAAGAAGAAGAGGAAGCTTCTTCCATACAACCCAACCGTTGATCCTCAAAGGAGGTTAGAGCAAATGGCGTCTTTAGCCACTGCGTTGAGAGCATCCAACGCTGAGTTCAGTAACAAGCTCACTTATGTACATAGCAAGGCTCTAAGATCTGCAAACAAAGCTGTCCTTGAGAAAGGAGGCATGCAGGTATAGATAGACTCATGTTCTTTCAATCGCATATTCATAGGTTGTAGTATCAACTGAAGAAGATGATTGTGTTGTTCAATGCAATGTTCAAGAAATCGCTAAACAGTGGTTAGGCGTTTAAGAAAAGATTCGTGTTTAATCATTCATGTTTAATCGGGCGTCTAGGCCGTTTTTTTTGAATAACTAGAATGATTTTTTGAAAAATTGTACAGTCTAGACCGATTTTTAGAACACTGATTTAATGTCACACAGGTTCTGTCTAAACAAGATGCAGAGACCTTAGCATTGTGCAAAAGCATGATGCATCGTGGTGAATGCCCGCCGCTTATGGTTGTCTTTGATCCTTATGAAGGGTACTTTAACCTTCTTATTAGCTTCTCTTTTTTACCTTTTTAACAACAATCTGGAATGATTATTGAGTTAAATTGGTTTTAAATCTGAAACAGGTTCACAGTAGAGGCGGATAGGTGTATTAAAGACTTAACTATAATCACAGAGTATGTTGGTGATGTTGATTATCTAAGCAACAGAGAAGATAGCTATGATGGTGACAGCATGATGACTCTACTCCATGCCTCTGATCCTTCAAAATGCCTTGTTATTTGCCCTGACAAACGCAGTAACATCGCACGCTTCATCAGTGGCATCAACAATCACACACCGTGAGTTTCTCTGAACCGTTCATGATGATCCAGGAACACTAAACATTCTAGTACTTGTTTGTCCTCATTTGTCCTTTTTTTTTTGGTTGGCGTTTTGTGAAATGTGTGCAGAGAAGGGAGGAAGAAGCAGAACCTGAAGTGTGTGAGGTTCAACATCAACGGAGAAGCTAGGGTTCTTCTCGTAGCTAATAGAAATATATCTAAAGGGGAGCGTTTGTATTATGACTACAACGGCTATGAACATGAATATCCAACTGAGCATTTTGTATAACCCTAAAATTATAGGTGCAAACTTGTTCAGCAAGAAACCAAAATGGTATCTAATGTTCTTGTCTACCCATGAATCAAGCCTTACTTCAAGTTGTATACCACAATAGAGCTGTTCAATTATCTTTATATACTTAATTTAAAATTATTTAAGAATAATTATTATGTTTAAATCATTCTATATATTAATTGAGAAATATTTTAAGTGATTTATGTTGACATGTCACTCATACACGAGAGTTTTTCAATACTCATACACGAGAGTTTTTCAATTAAATGTTATAATTTAATTGGTTGATAGTTTTTATCATTTGAATTATTTAATTAAAGTTTTAAAAAGAAACTAACATTAGAATTATCTAATATAATCTATGTATTTAAACAAACAATTAAACATTTTAAATATATATTAATTAGCATAATTCTTTTATAGAAGCAATTAAATATCATAGATTGGAGAAAACTAATTAATATCAACCTAATAATATTAATTTACTCACTCACCACACATATTCTAAAATGTGTCAATGAATGCAAAAACTCAAATACATATATAGTTTAAAAACAGACAATCATTTTTCAAAGATAATATGATATTATAGCTGAGTTATCATTTTTAGAAGTGGTTAAAGTATTTTTTAGATTTAACAACATAAAATTGTATGGTAAGTTATTTGAAATTATATTAATAAAAAAATTTATCATAACATAAAATTAAAATCAGAACCTTATATTAATACGAGCAGCCCAAGGTTAATACTCTTTTAATGTAATTCGTATAGATTTGATTATAACAAAATTCACATGCTTATGTTTTATTAGAAAAAAACAGGAGAAGTAAATTAAAACCAGAAAAAGAATAATAAAATATGTTTGTTGTGTTCTTTATTATTTAATATTCTTATGTACTAAAATTTTATTTGTTTGTCGCGATATTACTATTAATGTGAACTAATTAGCCTTATGTGTTTTTAAACATCGAGATAAATTTAAAGATATCAATGGAAGTGATTAGTTCTGGAATTGATAAGGTCGAAGATTGAAAATTTAACGTAAACTGAAATTAAGAAAAAATATTTTAAAAATAATAGTATGAATTTTATAAACATTTATAGCTGACGATAATAAAGTTTTAACAAATTTATACAAATAAAAATATTTTATTTTGATTTAATATTGAATCTCACATCAGTATTAAGAATATATATCTAAAATCACGACATTGCGTTATTTAAAAAATTAAATATTATTTTTTCTTATATATAATTATTTAATCAAATTTAATAAAATAAGTATGTATAAAAGTAATTTAAAATAAATAAAAATAATAATTTTAAATATATCTAACAAATAAAATTATAAATATACAATTTTCATATAATAATTTTGATTGACAAAATATTTAAAATTAAAAGGCTATTTTAATATTTTTGATTCTTATTCAAAATTATAAAATTATAAACAATATATACAATTTCATATAATATTTATAGCGCGAAACCGCAGGCAGCCACCTAGTTAATCATTATTTTCAGTGTTTTAATAGTTGGTTTGTGTTGTGCTAGTCATAAGCGGATGTTTACAAATCGGTTAAAAAGAAAAGATTTTCTCAAAATGATTATTTTTTTAAAAACTTATTTATTTTGAACATTTGATTATTTCAACATTGATATTTCTAAACTAAATATAGAAAATGATTTTCACTTATATAATTAACCTCTAATTAATTTTATTGAAAAAGAGAGTATGGATATTTTTACAAGTAAAAAATGTTTCCGGCAACAAACCATGGACGCTCCTAGTTCCGCTGGCTGGTCAGAGCTCCCAGTGGACATATTGAGATATGTGTTGGAACTTTTGAGTTTTTTCGATTTCCACCGCGCTAAGATGGTGTGTTTGAACTGGTACTTGTGTTCCAAGCAAACATTAAGGCCAAAATTCAGATCTCCGTTAGTGATGCTATGTCCAGAAGAGGGTGGCTGTCGTCTGTACAACCCTGAGGAAGATAGGGTTTACAAGAGTGATCTCTCAGGATATCAATTTCTTGGAAACTCAGGTAAGTGGTTTCTGGTGGTTGATTCTAAATCAGATCTCTATATCGTAGACGTGTTTAGCAGCCATGATAGGATACTTCTTCCACGTCTAGAGACTCTCAAAGGTGGTACTCATGAGATTCAACGAGTAGGTGAAAACGATTTCAAAGAGAATTTAATTAAGCGAGGTACTGCTTTTGCTTGGGGCCATCACACTAGAAAAGACCTTAGAGGTCTTGTGTGGGTGGACGACAAGAATGGAGACTATGTTGTGGTCTGGAGAGTTTCCACCTGCCACTACTTGGGGTTTTGTAAGAAAGGTGATGCTCATTACAGTGAGATTACATTAGGGACCGATGTTGTTCGTAGGGAGTTAAGAGGCGGAGATGATATGGTTCTCAAAGGTTACAATCTTTACTTACTCTCGTCGCGTCGATACATCCGACACCTTGATTTGTCTGGACAAGATGGTAGTGTCAAGGATGCGTCAGTGTATCATAAGTTTCCTATGTCGATTCCAATAGCTGATGAGAGAGCAATGAATGCATACAAGCCCATCTCAGTTGGCAATAACATTGTTGTTCCAACATCAGGAGAGCCCTTGTTTCTCTATACCAGAGTTGACGAACCAACCTCTGGACGGCCTAGGTTCTTCCGCCTGTACAAGAGGGATGCTAAAGATCTAGACCAGGGGACCTTAGATACATGGCTTGTTGAGGTGGACTCTTTAGGTGATGAGGCTTTGTTTTTTGATTTGGGTATCACCATGCCTGCTGATCACACCCTTGGTATTGAGCCAAACTCCATCTACTTCACCCGTAATGACCGCCGCCGTTGCAGTTACACGAAAGGTTCAACTCCATGCATCGACGTGTGTGTGTACAATCTTGCAACAAAGAACTTCAAACGCTTTACCAGTCTCTCCAACTTAAAAATCAATGATGCCATGTGGTTTCTCCCCTCTTGATTTGTTTCCTTGTGTTGTTATTTTGATTCTTGTGTTTAATGATGTAACAAAGACCTTCAAACGCTAGCTTCCCCCATGATGTCTCGTTTGGTCCTTGTTTTGTTTCTTGTGTTGTTTAGACATTCTCATACTCGGCTTTGTTATCCTATTTTGCGTTTGATGTATAATTTTTTGACATAGTTAAGTGTTTTCACTTTTAGGTATCTTATGACTTATGTTTTAAATTTCAAACCATCACTTCAAGTAAGCTAAAGAGGCTGGTTCCAGAAGAATCTTAATTCAAGGTGATTGAAATGGAGCAATAATTGTGGTTAGACTGGTACAAGCGAAATTATGATGGTCAATCTTAAGAGATCATCAAAGAGTATATAAATTTTGAGGAACAGCCTCACAAGGAGGCTCAGCATCCAGCATTGACGCAGAAGTAAAAGCCATGTTAACGAGACTCTTAACAAACAGCTCCATGGAAGGAAGAATCATCATTGGTGCCACTTAAATTTTGGTTGAAAAGATAAGGGGATACTTAGAACATCCGCAACAAAGATCCTTAAGTACTTTGGGCCTAATAGTACGAGTTTGTTGTATTACAATGATTTGATCTTCTGTCTAATGAAATAAAAGTTGTAACATTTTACTTTCAACACTGTGGAAAGACTATAATCTTGTTAAAATAAATTAAACTTGGTGTTAAGATAGCATAGAAAATATCATAGAGGTCTATAACATGGAACAAGTCGAGGTAGTTAAGGTATTCAAGTCCATATCACGTAAAATCATCAATAGGTTTATAAAATAGAACCTCAAAATGATTCAGATGGCTGTTCCATATAAATTCGTTTTCGCTTGGGATTCAATATGGTGTGTTATATGGCATCTCCTATATATTATTTGAGAATCATTTAAAAAGTTGTAACCTTAAGTTTGTAAAAATTAAAAATAACTTCAATCCTACGTAGCATAGCTCTTTGACTTCTATTTCAAATCATAAGGATTCTAGAGCATGTGATATAATGTATAGTTTAAAAATTATATTCTCTAGCAATATAATATTCTGTAGGCTATAGTTGGTCGCATATATCAAATATTTATTGTTTCGCATGCTTTCCTTAAATAAAACCTACGGAACTACCTAATGTGATCAAAATATATATATGACAATTAATGATTTTGAACAATAAAGATTTGATAACAATCTGTATATTTTTTTTCATTTTGTTTATTTCTTTATTATTAAAATAAATTACACAATTACATTAATCATATAATAAAAATCTAGATTTTTTTGTGTATGTTGTATTTCGAATATTTCAAAATGAGTATAAATTACTAAAACTGTTAAAAGTCCCACATAAAATTTTAAGATCAAGGTTTTAATTTTTTTTTCTATACTAAAATATAATGATTATAAGACCATATGAAGAAATAATTTTAATTTATATATATTTAATATCATTTTAATTAAACTATACATCGTATGAAAATACATATTTATATTTTGATATTTTCCTTGAACATATATTGAAAAGTTAATATTTTAATTTTGAAATAAGTCATTGTTTTTTTTTAAATGATTATAAATTATTGAAACTACTAAACATCTCAAATTAAAAAAAAAATCGTTGGTGTAAAGTTTTGTTACACATATATGCAAATAATCATAAAATCATATGAGTAGAAACCTCATTTAATAAATATCCCTATTAAAAGTGTGTAATATTACTATGTTTGTATCATTTAAATTTAATTATATATCATATACAATATATAAGATTGATTATTTTGATTTATTTACCCTAATTGTGAATTAACAAGAGTAATAGTTAAAATTATATGCATACGCCAATTTATTAGATAATAGTAACTGATTTCTTAGTTATTTAATATATATTTATTATTTTATTATTTATAATATGCAGAAAGATATAAATAAATAATAAATATAAAATATTTATTGTGCATAAAGTGCAGATCTTAACCTAAGTATGTATCTCTTTAATTATTTTAAATCTTAAGTATTTTCTAAAAAAACGAAATGAGAATAAAATTAAAAACAAATATTTATATCCAGTAATTACCAAAATATAAAAAAACATAGCAATTGAAAAATGGAAGATAAATAGGACGGACACGTGAACGTAAACTTCTAATAACCATAATTAATTTTTAAATTGTTAAATCATGATATAAAACTGAGTTAATTTTTAATTTGTTAATTTTTTAAATCATTATGGTTATGTTAAATCATGACCATAATTAATTTTAAATTGTTTATTTGTATTTGAAAAACTTAAAATGTTGTTTTTAAAAATAATTTAAAATTTAACATAATTTTTTATAATTTATTTTAAAAATAAGAATTTGTAAAAAATATAATTTTCTAATATTATTAGACAGATAAATAAATTATATTAAATTAGTTTTGAAACTTTATATATTTTAAATGTAAATATTTTACCAATTGCTTCTTAAAAAACATTAGGGAACTTGTTAATACTCTACCAATCAAGCCGAGTGACACTCCATTTATTTTCCATCACTCGAACACTGAAAAGTGAAAAAGATATATGAAATCAGATCCATTAAATTCTAAGATTTGGTCTATAAATCTAACTAAAATTGTTTCTGATCCTACGTATAGATAATTATATAAAAATTTCAAAATTCTGAAATTTCAAATACATAAAAAAAACAATCATATGTAAATTTTAAATTTGTCAATACTAAAATTTTATATTTTAATTACATATATTCATCCTAGTCTAAGATTATTTCCAAAAATTTATGAATTAAAACGCTATTCTTAGTCCTCAATACAGGAAAAAAAAACTGGAAACTAAGTCTTAAAACGAAGACGATGAGTAAGTAAGCTTTGTTTAATATCTTGCCTGCTCTATTCCTCCTGCAGCTCATATATCTGCATGTATGCTTCTGATAGTTCTACCATCTGTGGAAGCATCTCTACAACATGCAGATCCTGCATCTGGTACCATACTCGTTCTTGCAACTTGGGCTGCACAAAAACTCTGAAAGACCCATCATCTGGCTTCCCATCATGTACTATGTTGGCTATTAAGTTATACTTTGTACAAGCCTCCTTCTCCCCTGGCAATGATGGTATGTAATCCCTCAGCTCCATGTCTTTCACTGGGAAGTTAACCAAGGTAGGGTTCTTCTCTTTGAAGAAGTTGTTCTTCTTGAACCGAACCATATGGAACATCAAGTAAGGAGTTTTGGTTACTCTATATTTCACTCGGGCTAGCCTTGGCCGAACCACCTCCGTCGTTGCAGTTTCTCCATCAAACTTCTTCAATAGATCGAAAAGAGCAACCTGCGGAATTATGCTTTTCTCCATGACATCTTTGAAAAGAGGAGGTGGTGGCAGATCTAATCCAAGCATCATAAAAGGCATCCTGAGATACTCTCTCACAACTTTTGCGTAGAGGAGTAACTCTCATCAACGATTGGATTGTCACGTTCACAAAATCTGTGTTTTGTATGTTGTTCAACCCAACCATTCCCGGAAGATAGTAAGAGCCATCAAGAGCCCTAGACCACTGCTCTTTTCTATCTACTTGTGCTCCTCTACTAAACCTTGGGTTTAAAACATGACGAATGTCATCCAAACAAGGGTCATTGATCTCATATCTATCAGGAAGACAATAAACCTTCTCCGTGAGAAGATTCATGTAAACGTGGTGCCCTGCTTCCAAGCTATGTTTATAAGCAGGAGAGTTTTGGCTTCTTCCTTGAAAATACTTCCCGCTTATGAGACACGCGTACACATTCAACTTCGACAAGCACACTGAGCAAGACCTCTCGAAATCAAAATCCAACTTCAACATTATTAGATCGCTCTCCCACTCTCTTACGCTTCGCATCTCTCTCTTCTTCAACAACTTCTCTCTCATTCTTCATCCTCGAGATTTCTTTCTTTACGCAAGTTGTTGATTCAAAACCCTTAGAACACACAAGATCAGCGATAAACTAAACGAGAGATCCTCAACAGAATAATAGCAGTGAGATCGAAGGTCGTGTATCTACTCGAGGATATATATACCCTAATTTGTTTTTCAGCTCTAATTTAAAAGATTATTCAATTTTTAATCTTAAAACAACTAGTTTCCTTTTTTATTTTTACAATTTTTTTAAAAAATACTATTTATTTTTACTTTTTTGATAATTATACAATTTTAACATCTTAACTTTTTCCTAATTTTGACTTTCCCCTCATGATCTATAACCCTAATTTGTTTTTTCAGCTCTAATTTAAAGATTATTAAAATTTTAATCTTAAAACCACTAGTCCCTTTCCTTTTTGATATTTACAAATTTTTAAAAATACTATTTATATTTACTTTTTGATTATTATACAAATTTTACATCTTAACTTTTTTCGTACTGTCGACTTTCCCCTCATCGAAAACCCTAATTTTTTTTTCAGGTCTAAAAATCATCCTTGGAAACCATCGACATGAAATTCTTCGGTAAGATGTGACCTCTTGCTCGTGTTTTATTTGTCTTGTGTACGTACCTAAGATTGATCGGTCTAATAGGTTTCGTAAATATTGTTTCGGATCGTAGAGGCGAACACAGTGGTCTTCTGGGACGTGACTGACTTCCCTATCCGTACCGGTTGCTCTTATCTCGAGACTCTCAGATCAGTTCTTGGAAACAATGGTTATATTGGTAAGCTGAAAATCACAGCTTATGGTGCGGAGAAACCAGACAATCTAGGTCATGAAGTCACCTTCGTACTCAGACGTGTGCTTCGAAAACCTTTTTTTTTTAATTTAAATTTTATTTTCATGTCGTCTCTCTTGTTGACATTGCTATTTATTCATTTATTTCCAGGAGATAAATATTCGAGACTGTGTAAGATGTTACTGGACATTGCTGTGTGGGGAATGGACACAAGTCACTTGTCATTTACCCCCAAAAATGTGATGGTGCTGGCGGAAAACATAGAAGAAGATACGTGCTTTGTCCATGTTTCTAAGAATTTGTTAACAAGTGCTAATAATTGTCTCTGGGTGCTCCCTGATGATTACGAAGATGAGAAAATAAAGCGTGTGAAGCTTCCTTGGGCAAAATTTATATGGAATTGGCAGGATCTGTTGGCTGGAAAAGATCCCATGTGAGGATGTACGTGCATTGCGTCTCAAGGCTCCCTCTAATAGCCTAGTGGAATAATGTATCTGAACTTGAATGTTTTGTGTAAAATCATCTCAAACTCTGTGGGTGATTTTGTTGTAGTGTTTTTTTTCCCATTCTCTGCTTGAAACTTAAGTGTTTAGTGTAATAATAATCTCTCATCTGGTTGAACAATTCAATCTGATGATTTTGTTGTAGTTCCTACGCTCCCTTTTTTTTTCCATTCTCTGCTTGTTTAGTTGAAGAATTTTCTAAATGTGAAACCAAAACATAAGGAAAATTCATTCTCCTTTAAGGCAAATTAGATATGATCAATAATAAAATTTCTCACAGTAACATATGGATATGCCAGAGATGTTTCACATTGACAGTATATGATTAAAAAGCATTAGGAGCTCATGGAAGCAAATAAATTTTAACACAAAGCATAGTTTAGCTTTTGGTGGGACATTTGGACCCCTCTTGGTCCTACAAAACTTTGCATTCCTTTATTTGCTTCAGTTGCTGATACTTGTGATGAGAATGGCTGGCGGTTAAGAGGCGCTCGTTCTCATGCTGCCGAGAGTCTGCAAATACATCTCACGGGTATTATTCTTCCTTCACTCTCTCATGATGATGATGTGTTTCACTGGATTATTGATGATGAAGTTATGCCTCGTTACTCTGCGTCTCGTACTTGGGAAGAGTTACGGAACAGAGCTCCTATAGTCTCTTGGTCCAGTAGTGTTTGGTTCAAGATGGCCACGCCTCGTCACACCTTCCTCATGTGTGAGACTATCAAGTTGGGGTCTAGGGACTTCCTCAAGAAGAATGCCAACGCGGATGAGACTATCAAGTTGGGGTCTAGGGACTTCCACAAGCTGCTGTCTTTGTGATTCAGCCCCAGAAACAAGAGACCATCTTCTTCTGGGTTGTGAAATCAGTGAACAGATTCGGAAACTGATTCTTCAACGGTTGGGATACACACATTCTGCCTTCATGACTTGGACTTCTTTTATTGAATGGATTTCTCTAAAGGACTCCACTACTCCTTTGATTCTCAAGAAGCTGGTCGCTCATGCAACCATCTACAACATTTGGGCAGAGCGGAATAAGCGCCTGCACGATGGAATCTCCTCAATTCCTCAAACGGTTTACAAGCTCATCGATCGCAACATCAGAGACACGATCTTGGGGAAGCAAAAAATCAAGAAGAACTTCAAAACACTTATGCTATCATGGCTAAGAAATGTTTAGGAAATCTTCTTCTCGTATGGGTTTCACTTTGTTTTTATTTTTTTTTTGCCAAAGTGCATCTTTCATATTTATATGATATTCACATCCTTGGCAAAAAAAAAAAGCATAGTTTAAGAGTTGTACAGAAAAGCAAGAAGACAGCGTTAAAAGCACAACAACAACAAACCCAATTTGATATAGAATCAAAATTATTTATTTATCTGCTAACTAGTTCTGAGAGTTACCATCCGCTTCTTTTTGAAGACGTTTAGTAGCGGAACCAGGAGCATCAGTTTCACTTGCACGTTTTACACCTTGATCAGCACGATCAGTTTCTGGTGAGCCACTTCCGGAATCGGAATCGTCATCAGTAGTAGAATCCAGGTCGGGGATGGCCGCACCACCAGAACATAAGTCTGACCAATACCAAGCTGAAATTGGCCCAATATACAACATTATGACCTCTCTCAATCATTTGGTCAAGAAAACTTTCCATGTTATCGTTGTCTTCCCCTGGGATACCCCTTGCAATATACAACACATTTTTTACCCCTCCATACTGTTTACGGTGGTAAATCCAGCGTCGGATGGAATGTAAGCAACGATAAAACCTTGTACGTTTATCGACAAATTTATATGCGGTAAAGGACCCCTCGGTAAAGACATATCTATCAAAATCAAAGGAATCCGAACTACCAAAAGCATAGAACTCCACGTCACAACGAATACCATGACGTAATATAGCTAACTCGACATTCTTAACAAACATATCTAAATCGAGACCAGGAGGGAGTGGGAAGTCATCCATGTCCCAGAACACGCCTGTCCAACCACCTGCATGCATGCACGAGCGAGAGAGGTGATTATTAACCAAAATAAATAAATCACATCTAATTGATAATTACTGAAAGTAAAAACACAAAGCAAGAGAGAGATATCTTACAGATGACCATGGTTTCAAAGCAGATGGATCGGGACTTATTAGAGGAAGAAGGGAATTGATTCTAGGGTTATATAGGGGATAAAGAGTGGGTTTTATTCTTGGAGAAAGTCATTCCATATAAGGCTTTTTTCTATAAATTACCCAATTTCTGGCCCGTACCTTTTTTTATATATGATTACAACGGATATGAACATGAATATCCAACTGAACATTTTGTATAACCCTAAAATTATATATGAAAGCAAGCTTGTTGAACAAGAAAACTAAAATAGTCTCTGGTCTTCTTGTCTGCCCATGATGAATCAAGCCTTACTTCAAGTTAAACCACAACAGGGCTGTTTTATTATCTCTATAAACTTGATTTAAAATTATTTAAAAATAATTCATTTGTCTTTTTTTTATAAGATGATGACTAGATTTTGACCCGCACAACCGCGCGGGTATTTTAATACGAAAATATTTGAAATTATATGATAAAATTTATCAGTAAATAAGTATAATATGATTATGTATGCTATCCAATTTTATAATAATTTTATGTGATTTATAATATTATTAATATAAAATTTATAAATTTGTATTTTTGTAACAATTTTTAAAAACATTATTATGTAAGATTACTAATTTATATATTTTGTTTTATTTCTAAGTTTGAAATCTATGTAAAAATTAATTAAGTTGGACATACATAATACATAAACAAAATTTTGGGATATTGTTAAAAGTATTTTACATCATTTTATTTTTTGTTTATAAATTAAAAATGAATTAAAATTTTAATTATATTTTATGATAATTAAAATTTTAATCAAATAATTTTTGAAGCTATATCTTGTAAAAGATTCTAAAAGATTTTTAAAAGATTTTGTTAGAATTTTATTAAAACTATTTATTTGTATTTCAAACAAAAATTAAAGATATGAAAAAAATATTATAATGTTATGTAAAATTTTATAAAATTCTAAAGATTGTCCAAATTAAAATATCGCACATGAATTGAGTCATGACTTCTCTTTTGATATAATAGATGTCCAACAGGTTCTCATCCATCGGCATTGTGTTCAGCGTTGTTTTTTTCTAGAAACCACTCCATTGGCAATGTTTTGACCATTTTCCCTCATCCCGCTGATTACATCTGCAGCTTTGCACAGTTTGCCCGTCTGGTACAATCTGATTCATTAATTAAATCTTTTTTTAAGCAAACGTTTATATGTTTCGGATCTGCTTGTCTGATATCTTGCATATTTGCATTGTTTTACCCATTCATCCATGAGCATTTTCATCATATAGATTAGGATTTACCCATGTCTAGGTTGCATTTTGCATTCATTGTCCTTATTAGGTGTTGGAATGTGCCATGGAGTGGTTTGAGATGTTTAGGAGCATTGTGATCTTAAAGGGGCTAAAAGATGAGCATGGATGGAGCCTTTAAAGAAATTTTCTGTTGCTAAGATTTTGTGGAGACACAGCAAATTGAGTTAGCTTTCTAATGGAAGTGGTTTCAAATCGTTTGAAGATGTAATGAATGAGTTATGACCAATTTACCAGAGGCATATAGAAACAACAGTATTTATTTATCTGCTAACTAGTTCTGAGCGTTAGCATCAACTACTTTTTTGAAGACTTTTAGCAGCAGCAGCAGCATCAGTTTCACTCGCACGTTTCACACCTTGAGCACGATCAGTTTCTGGTGAGTCACTTCCGGAATCGGAATCGTCATCAGTACTAGAATCCAGGTCAGCGATGGCCGTACCACCAGAACATAAGTCTGACCAATACCAAGCTGAAATTGGCCCAAGATAATCAAAATTTTCTGGTGAGGTTCCGTCAGGAACTACTGTGAGAACATTATGACCTCTCTCAATCATTTGGTCAAAAAAACTGTCCATGTTATCGTTATCTTCCCCTGGGATACCCTTTGCAATATACAACACATTTTTTACCCCTCCATACTGTTTACGGTGGTAAATCCAGCGTAGGATGGTATGTAAACAACGATAAAACCTTGTACGTTTATCGACAAATTTATATGCGGTAAAGGACCCCTCGGTAAAGACATATCTATCAAAATCAAAGGAATCCGAACTACCAAAAGCATAGAACTCCACGTCACAACGAATACCATGACGGAATATAGCTAACTCGACATTCTTAACAAACTGATTTAAATCGAGACCAGGAGGGAGTGGGAAGTCATCCATGTCCCAGAACACGCCTGTCCAACCACCTGCATGCATGCACGAGCGAGAGGTGATTATTAACAAATTACTGAAGGTAAAAAGACAAAGCAAGAGAGAGATATCTTACAGATGACCATGGTTTCAAAGGAGATGGATCGGAACTTATTAGAGGAAGAAGGGAATTGATTCTAGGGTTTTATTCTGGAGAAAGCCATTCCATACAAGGCTTCTATAAATTACCCAATTTACGGCCCGTATCTTTTTTTTATATGATTATTACAGGGAAAATTGCATTGTAACAAAAAAATTATAATTCATTTGGTAACTAATTACACTAACTTACCTATATGCCTTGTAAGTTTTATATATTATTGCCATATTATTCTTGTATCTAACCGGTGAAATCTGGAAGCAAAAAAAATTCCATTAATAATTATTAAAAACAAAATTAACTTGTGGTCCTTCACCATTCACACACTATCTGTTTGTTTCTTTTTATTTGGTAAATTGGTAGATTGTGAATAGCTTCATTTTCAAGCTTGAGCGACAGTGTGACCACCGACTGGATTTCTACAGTAGTTTTGTGGAAGAGAAAACCATTTGCGAATGATCTGCAGAGTGACGATGGGAAGCATCAGAGATTTCAAAATCAACAGAGGTGACGACACTGTAACAGGCGCAGCCCAGCGGCGATGTGGCTGAACTCTTGATGATTCAACTTCACAGCAGCGATTTCCAGAATGTATTTTCAACTATTGTAAGTCACGGCTTCTTATCTCTGAATCTGCAGTAGCTTTTCTTCCATTTGTGTCATTGTAGAAACTTCATGAATAGAGTTGAGAAATCTGAAAATTCCTTTTTGTTGCATATGGATTAACTATTTAGAAGTCTGAGAAATCTTTATTTTTAGTTTACTTTGTCTTTGTTACTCGAATAAAATAGTATAGATTTGCGAAATATTCGCATTTTCTCTACCATACAATGTACTTAGTATACTATATTGAAAGGTCAAACAGAATAGACAATGTATTTTGTAGATATAATGCATGCGTCTGTTTTTCCATATTTAATTACGTTTTACTTGGTTTTCGTTCTATAGTATCCTTTTATGTATGGTACTATGACACACATTATTTCTATTTGTATATAGAAAAAAAAAGATTTATTCATCCTTGAAAACAAAATAGACATACACATTATAGTAAATAGAATAGTAACTCTTCACATATAGAATAGTTGCAGTGTGATCTTGAATGCTTTCATTTATTTTCTTATGAATAGACTGTGTATGTTATCTATTCATATCCTTGCTGCTTACATGGCATCCCTTCTACATTGTTGTTATAATTTACGTTCTATTTTCTTGTATTTAGCTGTATGAATCCTAACAACTTTACCATTCTATTGTTTGTATCAGCTTACCAATGGATAATGTAGGTTTGCCATTGGTTGTTTCATTGCTGCCATCGTTCTCTCCTCCTCCACCTCACCACCCATAGTCTTTTCACTTCTTCTAACTGTTGTAATTTATTATTTGTTCTGTTCTATTCTATTTGTCAAACCTAGAATAGAAATATAATTTTACAGTGAAAAACATGAGTTGTGATTTGTTATTGTATATGAAATTTTGGTTTATGTGTATTGATCAGAACTAAGCATTTATAAACTCTGTTTTGTTATTTTGTTAACTACATTCACACAAGTGTAGACTTTACAGTTATCAAAAAAAAAAAAAAAGTAGATTTTACAGAAACTTCTCTTATTCTATTTATAATGATTAAATTTTAAATTTAAAATGAATAATAAAAATAATGAAACGCTTTATAATTCATAATTCTTTTCTATTTTTTATGTAGTACGACTTAATATCAAAACATATTATTATATCATTTTTAGATTTTAATTTTATTTTAAATATTATAAATATATATTATTGTTTATATTTGGATTTGGGTTTAGCAATTTCAGTTTAGGGTTTAGTATTTAAAGATTAGGGATGGGTTTAAGATTTAGGGATTAATTGTGGATAGAATTAGAATCTTATAATATTTCAGTGATATAATATCATTAGCTTTATCACCTATATTATTTCAGTTATAAAACTTAGCACTTTTAACTTCATTAGCTCTATCGTCAAAATGTATTGTTATATTGTTGATATAAATTTTGGTTAATGAGTGTCGATCAAAACTTAACACTTTTTAATTCATATGTCTATTTTATTTTCCATATAGTATAGTTAACTATCACAAGATATTATACACTATTTTTAGATTTCAGTTTTATTTAAAATATTGTAATTGTGTTTGGGTTTAGCAATTATGGTTTAGGGTTTAAGTATTCAAAAGTTGGGGTTGAGTTTAATATTTAGAGATTGTTGGTAGGATTTGAGTTTTATACTGTTCCCGGATTTAGAATACATTTTTTATTGACAATGCTAATTTATATTTGGGTTTAGGATTCAGTAATTAGAATTTAGAATTTAATATTTAAGAATTTGGGGTTAAAGTAAAGTTAGAGTTGTAAGTGGATTGAGATTTATATACTACAAAAATGATAGGGTCTATATCCCTTATATATTAATCCTGAAACATTCATAAATGCACAACCTTGGAGAGCATGCTTACGTGTCAAGCTCACAGAGCTTCTCAGCTTTAATTTTTTAATGGACCAACTTTGCTAGGAATGAAATAATGTAACGTTTAATTTCTTACATTTAGGACTATAATATATAGACATTTTTAAGGGACCAACTCTGATAGGTATAAAACAATATATTTTATTTCCTTAAATAAAGGGCTTTTTGCAAATTTGACTCAAAACTCCAAGTCAAACACAAAACTAACCTCTTCTTTTGACTCATCTTGTTTTTGTCCTATTCACCCCACATCTTCATTTTATTTACGAAAATGCCATTTAAATGTTTTTTGAATTTTTTTTCGAAAATGGCATTTTTACTCTCTCAACCTCATCATCTTCAAGTATTTACAAC